GAAAACGTGATAAATTAATGTCTGATATTAACAGGCTCCCGCTAGAGGGCTTTCTCGAGCGTTGCGATCGCGAAAAAACTAAAAAAGTATTCTAATCCTTTCCAGAAAGTTTTTTCAGAACGTGCTATTCAAATAGCTATGTAAACAAAACCATAAATTTTGAACAGGATTATAAAAGTAAAAAAAAAAAAAAAAATGCTGGACTCAGCACTACCTAAGTGTGGCAACAATTAAATAGAAGGATTATTAAAAACATAAATTTTTTTATTTACTAAGTACTTTGATATTTTGAGAGACACAGACATTATATCAAGCCTACTTCGAAAGACATAATTCGCGATCGCAACGCTCGAGTACGCTATCTAGCGGGAGACTGAAAATATCGGACATTAAGTCCCACAAAACCATTAGCAATGACGGACGCCATTTTATTAGCAGCAAATACGAAGCAAAATTTCCCTAAGGAAAGGGTAGTACTTCTTGAAAAAACTAACCAGAACATGCTTTATATATCTGTAGTTTTTCATAAAAACCTATTAGGTTAATTTAAAAATATAATTGACATCAAATTTTTTAAATTTTTTTCTTCGAAAAACTTTCCAAATTAATTGGAGTATGTAATTGCAAATCAATTAATTAATTAATAATTAATTAACAATCAATGAATATTTAATCAACAATTAACCAACAATTAATTAATAATTAATAAATTTTTTTGATTAATTTATTAATTAGCAAATTAATTCCAAATTAATTGGATTATGAGACAATTACAATAACTAATAGTCTGCATTGAAGTAATAAAATACCGATTTTCCTACATATTGAATTATTTTTTATCTCTCACAGGACCTTCTATGGGCCGAAACGAATGTTGCCCCCTAAAATTATTCCTCATAAGGCATACATCCCACTAGTTTATTTCAAAATTGGCGAGTCACACTTCCCTAGTTTCCCTTGTTAGAATTCTGCAGATTTATAAAACAGGTGAGTGTTATGAGTGTAGTGTAATTTGCTTGTAAATACTTTTTTTTCTTATTTGATGATAGTTCTCTACAGAATGGTTTTTTATGTCTGATTAAGAACTATAAGAAGAATTCTTTATTTTCCGCTTTTTAGCTTATAATTTTTTGATAAAAATTTTTGTCAAAATACTTTTTTTGAAAAATTAAATGGTATAACATTATGTGTTCATGTATACTTCTTGTATATCCTAATGTTTGAAGTAATATGATTCAGAAAAGTATGGAATAAAAATTCGGTACTTGCGTATTAACGCCACCGCCGCTACAGATTTGACGGTTTTTAAATGCCGCCAATCTGCACTTAAAATTTTTGAGACAAATCGTAAAATTAAACACTTTATTTAAAATCAAAGTAGTCAATCGGATTTCGGTGGAAAATGAGCTGATATAGAGTTTAGCATAGATTCAAAACAATCATATCGCCATATGAACTCTGATAAATGAGATTCCAAATGAAATAACATTTCCAAAACGTACGTTTACCAAGATAAAGTTTCATGTTGTGGGAAGTGATACATTTTCGTTTTTTCGGTAAAATATTTTGCAGGTATCCGTCTCATACAACAACGCCCGATAGTTCGTTGCGATCGCGAATAATTACATCATTAATTACTAGTAAAATTAACTTCAACATTTTATGCTTAAAGCTACCTTTAAAATAAGTATCTATCACAGATCTGAGTGTCGATCATTGACGTCATATTAAGATGTTATTGAGATGAGGAGAAGTACTCGTTTCTCTTCTGACTCAATTATATTTTTGGACAGCCCCAAAGTGAATGGGTTAGCATAAGTAAATCAAGCAAATAAATTAAATCAGTCAAAATAAACAACTGACTTGTATTCAAAATTGACATCTAATTTCACAATTTTATTTAATTCTTATTTGTGATTTTAAAAAAAATTAAATGCTGTCGATTTTAAAACATGCCGTTTATTTCTTATTACACTTACTCCGAGAATTGTTTATCTCTTTAGCCTTGGCACTTCAGTGTATGTTAGTATTCCGGTTGCTAATTTACAATTCAGCTGACTTTAACGACTCGTTGTCTTTTCTGTAGGTTTTTCTCTTCGTTGCAGTGGGTCGTCAATCGTCATAACAATGCAAGCTTTTATTCATTTTAAAGTTTATTATCTGAACTAAAAAAAGTTAAGAAGCAATTTTTTTTATAGCTGGATTGGAAAATTGCGTCCCGATTATAGTGACGTACACTAATTTGTAGCCGTCAGTTTATGCATAGTCGGTTTATATTATTACTATCTCTTTGGTACTTATTCATTTCGCCGACGCAGGTGATAAAATCGCCAATGGAAAGTGATTTGGCGCAAGTAAATTCGTGTTTTTTCGAAGACAGTTATTTTTTTTTAATGCAAATAAATAAGGAAAATAACTGAATTTACTTGCGATGTCGAAGAAGTCCTCATATTATTGTTATTTATATAAATTATACATGAAAAAACGAAATTATTAAGAAGCTACCGTGCATTTTCTTAACCGATTTACTATAATCCAAACTTAATTACGATATTGCACATTAAAACAGTGTTTAGAAAACATCTTAGATCGACTTCGACTACTTAATGTTTTTATTTTGAAATTCATCCGTGTTGTAATACAAAAATGGATGTTAAAAAACCATTCTATGAAATATTTGAGTTCTGGTTTTAAGTGAATCATAGTAAACTAATTTTAACTTCTTTAGAAGAGTGAAATGCTTTGTTTGCATAGGTACTTTTGCCAACTACAGTTTTTTTTCTTTTTGTAGTTACCAAAACTGGCACAATATGCAATTCTGTTTGCTGTATGTTCCCATTATAAGTCTAACGTCACAACTAAAAACTTTTATTTCAACATTGCTAAGGTAAATGTTGTTGGTAAGGTAAAATTGATGTTATTTTTTTGTTACTATTCAAACTTCGGAAAAGATAAGACGTAAACACGTAAGAAACAGACGTACGAGTAGACATATAAATATTTTTATTACATTGTTAATGGATTAAAAAAAAAGATTTGTGAAAATTAAGGAAGAATGAATGATGATGAAGAGTTACAGCAAAAATGTCCGGAAATTATGTATGGCAAGAAGTGAGCTAAAAAGGTTTTTATTTTTATTTTCAGCACGCATTTTTTTAAAGTTTTGTTCATTTAATATAAATATGACATTTACACGGGCTTCAGAATACACCACGTTATGATACTAATAGTGGTTGTTTGAAAACATTCATTTAAAAATTTTCTTATTAAATAGCGCCATCTGTTGATGAAAACAGTGACAAATTTCAAAATTCGATGGGAATAAACAACTGGCTTCCCAAGCAGAATCCGTAGATTTCCTAGATCTCCTTCGGTTTTTCTTTACTTGATTTATCAAATCATCGGCTTATTTTTTGACATTTGGGAAATAATCCGCATCTTGAAATTCTTATTAATTAAAGTATTTCCATGTGACGTTTCAGATGTAGAGCTAAGTGATCAGATCTCGAGAAAGCTTTCTCGCAGTTCGCACACTTGAAAGGTCGGTCTCCGGTATGTTTTCTAAAGTGCCTGGTGAGCTCGTCAGAACGAGCAAATTTCCAATCACATCCACGCCACGAGCAGGCATAGGGCTTCTCGCCAGTATGTGTCCTCACATGAGCTTTCAAGTGTGAACTCTTTGTGTAAGTCTTTGTACACCCGGCATGGGAACACTGATGGTAGGTCACTTTTCTCTTCGATGGTCTTCTGCCTCGTCGTGCTTTCTTGAATATTGCAACAGTTGGTTCAACAGTATCGAAATCACTGTAATCAGCTGTTACAGATTCTGGAAAAGTCCTGTGGTAACACTGAAATCGTGAATCCACACTGCTTGACTCCGTGTTTCCGGACATGGAATTTTTGGATGTATCCTGAATGTTTGCTGAAGATGACGGTTCAAGGGTATAACTAAATTCAAATTCTTTATTTTAGATTTTAGTTCTACTATAAGTGAAAAAGGTGTTTCTGTCAGATTATAAAATCTTCCATGAAACGAGAAAATAAAATAAAGAAATCTACAATTACAGCGCTTTTAGGAACTTATTCTTTAGTTTATAAGGAGTAATGGTGTATGTGATTCATAATATGCATTTTATAAAACATTGAATTAAATTTTAACTACAAGGAAAATGAAGAGAAAAAAAAGTATTTAAAATAAAAAAATAATTTTCTTTTTGTTGCAAAATGCAATTTTTTGTTCATTAATACACGACATTCTTAAAGAATAAACAGTTGAGAATTTAATTGAATTAAAATAAAACTAATAATGAAACGATTACAATGAAGTACCAAAATTCAATTAAACATAATAAAAGAAAACCATAAGCACATCATTCTAATTAGAAGTTAAGCTTTTTACCATACCGGGGCGCTAAAAGCGCTATGGCCAAAGTGTTGCCATTTTAACTCGCATTAATAAAGAAATTTGCCATCTTCTTTATGCTCTAGCATTAGAGTAAAAACTATAACTTCGTTAAAGTTGAATAATTAAACTTGATCTAACTTGGATCTCAAATTTTACTTTAAAAAAATTATTCTACGTTCAAAAGTAACGACTTGTGCAGTAAAGAGATTACAAAATTTATACTTTAGCATGAGTTTTTTTTTCTACACAGGAATGGTGTCGCATACCTTGAGTGATTTTTTTTAAAAGTAATAATGATTCAAATTAAGAAACTGTATTATTATTAAAAGAAAAAATAACGTTGTTCGAATTAAAGGAATCAGTGAAAATCTGAGGGTGGATGGAAGGATGAGTGAAAGTGAAAAAGCATGAGGCCGGGCATTATAGAACAACATTTGTGTTTGTGTACGTCAAAAAGATTCTTTTTTTAGAAGAAAGAAGAACTCGTTTTTTTCTTCTTCCTTTTTTAACGTTTTTTGTCTTAGAACAGGACATCCTTCTGAAACTAATACCAGTCGGCATTGAATAATCGTACGCTTACTCACATTATTTACCTAAATATACTATAAAATGTTTATCTTTTACTTTTAGTCTTCAATGCACAGGAGATGAAGCTTAAATATAAATCTGCAAGATGTAAAATGTAAATCTGCATAGCGCATTTACCCTAATGGTACGAAAATATAGTCCATACACTGTAAGAAGACGATTGATTCTCGAATAGTTAATTTTGATGCGGGCGGGGGGGATGGTAATTGTGCTGAAGAATCATCATTGCTCCATTAACGATCTTTAGACATGTTTCTACATATCCCCTATTTTAACTAGATTGTTAAAAAAAAATCTGTCATCTTACTAGAAAATTTCTAGGAAAAAGATTCTATACACTTTTCTAGAAGCGTTACTACATTAAACTTAGTACACATACTATGTTTTCTAAGTTAAATAAAGTAAATTTACTAGAAAAGTTTATGGAATCTCAGTTGCCTGGAGATTTTTTAATAATACTTCAGGTTTTCATTCTTACAGTGTAATGAGTTTTCAGGTATATTAAAGAAATTTAAACTATAGAACAAAAATTAATTAAGTTTAATAAGAAAAAACATGTAACCGTACTTATTATGGCCTTCAATGCAGCTTATTTTTAGGATTATAAAGCAACATAATTTTTTTAAAAAATATACTTAAAAAAATTTGATGATAAATATCTGTTTCAAAAGTTCTGATAAAATAAATCTATTTCAAAAAAATTATTTAAGAATAAATGAAAGAAAAAATTAACACGATTATAAGAATGAAAACAATTAACACGAATCATTGGCTTTGAGTTTTCTAGATTTTGATCAGATTGCATATTTATAAAGATAACCTAAAATCACAGTAATAAATATCTATTTAAAAAGCTATAATAATAAAAACGAAATTAGTTAAGCGTTTTAAGAATTATTATAGACATAAAAATTTATGCGAATTAATTTCTAAATTTTGCTAAGATAACATTTTTGTGAAGACATCATTCTTAGTTCATTCCATAAGAATAATTATAAAATAAAACCCTTCTCTTTCCTTCTATTTTTAATACCTATCTTAACGTTAATGACTCAAAAAATAAAAATTGTTTTTTACCAGAAAAAAAAGTAAGTATAAAGCTTTTTAAATACAAGAAAGTTCTACAAGAAAAATTAATTTCAAACGATTTATTTTTTCCTATTTTTAGCATATTAATTGATAAGTTTTTATTTTTAAGTTTTATAACATGATATTTAAATCTATCTTAAGTCATTTTTACACAGAGTTTAATTCTCGTATTTGGTATTTATTTCCAAAATTAATATTAACACATTTGGTTAATAGTAATTACGTCCACTATGTCAAATTTCATTGAAATATATCGTCTTCTCTGAAAAAGTATTTTATATACATTATTTAATCGTTTGGTTTATCCTGTCCTATCAAAATTATATAGGATATAGGATGAAATGTGCAAGCTGCATTTCAGATTGTTCTATTGGATTCTTAGAATAAATATTTTTTGATTATTTAAAATGGTAATAGTACATACATGATAGTTTGTTTTGTCATGATATTCTTGAAAGTTCCTTGTTTTAACGAATGTCGATGAAATATTAATATCTTCATCGAAATATTTTGGTGTTCCATCATCTAGTTCAGTCCATGTATAAGTTGAGTGAAATACACTTTCAAGATCATTTAGAACCTACAAATAAGAAAGTAAGCTAATAATTTTTGTCACATTTTAATAAAACTGTGCATAAAGATAATAGAAGTATAGGCGGCACTACAGCGTACAGCGGGGGTCCCTATTTGTTAGTAGTAGTTTATAATTTTTGTTTAAATATTTATTTGCAGTAAAAATGTAATATCTTTTACTATGCAGTAAAAATATAATGTATGTTTAAAATATTATAAACGTATTTTCATTGCATGGAGTTTCGAGATTTTTGTCACTTTAAAGGATTTTCCGAGGTAAAAATTCAAGATTACATTTTTTTTATATTTCCCTTGTTTAATATGATAAACGAGTGTTAAAATTAAAATGAAAAACTTTTTGTGCAGTGTTACGTTAATTATTAAGAATCAAAAAGAATGACACTGAATGCTATTTTGGAAATATTTTATGTTAGATAAATTTCATTTCGGAAATAAAAATTTATATGAAATTTAGAAATTAAAAATTTGATTGGGGCATTTTATATAGAATGATCAAACTACAATCAATAGGAAAGTAAAGTTATAAAAAATTGTAAATTGTATTTTATTATTCTTTAAGATTTTAACTTCTTTATATTAAGGTTTAATTTTCTGTTAGAAATATTTCAAGCATTGATAAAAGAATTATATTTACATGTAATAGAATAAATAATTTGTGTGTATGTGTCTATATACCGGAACCGTTGGTTCTAAAAATACGACATTCAGCATGAAGGTAAACAAATTGCTAAGCCCGATTTTCGAATTGTTAATTTTATTTTTTATCCAGCGACATTTGAAAAATGGAATTTTCTCATTGGTTTAGAGGAAACCATAAAAAGTAAACTATAAAAGATTCAGTTTTGTCAACAATTTTGAAGATAACATTCAATGTTTGCTAGCTTATAGCTCTATTAAAAAGGTTGCTTATTGCACGTTCTATAATAAATTTTTTTTATTCGTTATGCTAGGTTATCAGAATGATCAAGATAATCGGTGTAGCATAGCATTTCTAAGATTGCTTGAAATTACGTGTTAATTTTGTTAATAGCTATGCTTTCAACAGCAATTTGCCAGATGATACCTAATAAATTTCATCTTTATTTTGATAGGATGAATGACTAAGTACGTGTTTTGCTTAGTCTAAAAACGTAAAGCATCCGAGAAGGGCAACGAATAATAATAAGACAAACTTTGGAATTATTTTAGCTTTATTTTTGTTTCGGTATTTGTCATTCAGTTTTGTGCATGATTTGTTGTGTTGTTCAGTACTGATTTATTGATTCTTTTTTTTTTTTTTTTTTTTTTTTTTTTTTTNTTTTTTTTTTTTTACCCCTTACGAAGAACAGGTTTTCAGCTAGTTGTTAAATAAAAAGTAATGACGTCACGCAAAAATAAAGAATCGAATCATTCGAAAATTCAACCGTCAAACGATTAACAATCGTTAATCGTAAAACGATAAACTTCTCAAAAGTTCAAGAACTTTGGAGTGGGCTCCAAGAGTTTCGAGTGGTGGAACTCACCCGAAATAAATAAAAATCAATATTTTCCATTTTAATTCTTTCAAAACATGTGCATTTATGAAGAACTTTTAAAATAGTTATATAATTCGAAAAAATTACGATTAGCATATGACAAAGACCAGTTTTATGCTTTGCGTAGAAATTCAAATTAGTAATTTAAAATCGTGACACAATTATTATTATTATTTTTTTTAGTGTTTGAAGGGAAACACAATAAGATACTTTTAGAGTTAATTATTTTATAGCACGCAAGTAGCAGAAAATTAGATGTCTAACTTTAAGACCAATCCCTATAAAAATTGTAAATGTTTGCAATACATTTATATTTTCTTTATATATATTATATATATTTTATAACCGTCGTTGAACAGCCGACCGAATATTCAGTTTACTACTACTTATCTTCAACTCTAAATCCTGTAATTTTGATCCCAATCCAGAAGAGAAGGGAACTTCTGGATCATGTATTGGCAGAAATTGCCTTCGAGGAAGACTTTTTGATGGAACTTACCCGCAATTGCGTTTCATGGAGAGGAACACCCCGAAGACCTCCCTCATCAGCCTGACGGCAAAGGACTCTAACCCATGATCCGTCTACCACTGAGGATATTTTAAGCCAGGACTGTGATCGGTGCGAGCGGGGTGCGTAATTCGTATCGACCGTCCATCGCTGGGATTCGAACCCGGTTCACCTCCCTGGATGGAGAACGCTCTATCCCTTGAGCCACCACGGCTCTCTCTCTATATATTTAGTCATTGTT